ATAATATATAATATATAATATATAATATATAATATATAATATATATAATATATAATATATATAATATATATATATATATATAATCTCCTAACTGAAATTATTAAAAGAATTGTGCTCAAAATGTATCTTGCATATCCAATTTAAAGGGTTAAACTTTCACATTCAAAAAAATCTATTCTTTATCATCCCATTTTAGGAAGTTTATTATTTTGGAGTAATTTATACTTTCAGAGTAAACTTTTAATTAGTTTTTAAACAACACCTACCAGCAGATAAGTAGCTATAGCAACATCCTCATATACAAACTTTTCAGGATCTGTTACTTCGGGCCAAACCTACAGATAAATAAGATGCAGGTTCAAATGATTAACTATAAAGGTTATTCAACATAAAAGGTTATTTCAAATATCCAGCAGATGCCTACCTAACGCCTCTTCTTCAGCCACCCCCCCACCCCCCGACAGACACCACAGTCGGTTGGGGAGCCTCTGTGAAGAGGCCGAGGGCCCTTCAGTCAGCTCTCCCTGCCAATGCAGCCCCCACAGAACACATTCCTAGCACCAGGCCACTCTCCCTCCGTGCCCTTACAGGACTGAAAGCGGATTCAGACGTTGCTTCGGAGGCATAAAAACCCAGCCACGAGGATGTTGCTTTCTGCCCGCCGTCAAGGTAATGCATGGCCAACGTTACTTCAACAGGAGCCACTATCCTGGCGATAAATACCACTAACTATCCATTTTCCCCGGGTATCGTTTTCTTCCTTGCCCTCCAAAACTGGGTGAAGTTGTCATCGGCCATCGTGGGGCTGCCGCTTCAGCTGGCACCAAGTGTAGCAGCAGCACGGCCAGTTATGTGCACCCCTAGACCAGTGCACCTTTCACCTCTGCTGCGTGAGTTACACTGGTTACCATCCGGCTTCCGGCTCCAATTCAAAGTGCTGGCAATGGCCTCCAAAGGAGCAACGTGGCATGAGGCCCGGTTCAGGGACCGCCTCTTCCGAATCACATGGACCTGCCCATCAGGAAGAGTACGCTGTCGGTCCTCTACAGCTGATGGGTGCCAGGAGGAGAGGCCTTCCTGCTGGGGCAGCCGCTCTTTGGCACATCATTCGCCCAAGGTCAGACCACTCCCAGCCCTGCTGGTCTTCAGGAAGGGGCTGCAAACGGGACACTGCCTTCAGGCCTGGGGTAGAACTACTACATTATGTTACTAGGGAACGACCGTTCTCCTGGAAATGTTTTATGGCCTCCCTGCTTTTTCTTCCCTTCTTTCATGATTTGTTTTACTCTTGGTGTCCAGAGTGACATATACTAGAGGGACAGCTATGTAAGTTTACCAAATAAACAAGCACATCACTCAACCTTTAAGCTGATTCTTACAAAAGCAGCAGAATGTTAAATGGGGAAACCAGATCCTGTGACAAACCCAAAGGCCTACTTTCCTCCCACGTTTACACCAACAGCTCCTTCTTCGCGTATTTTTCTTCTAATGTGATTTATCTACCTGCAATGCCCTCCAGATTTACACGTTGTGGTACAAGTGGGGCAAATGTTGTACAACAGGACACAAGTTGGGCATCAGGACTCAAATGCTGACCAAGGAAAGTAGCGGCCAAGCATTTCAGCCTTCCAGGACCCTCCTGTAACAGGGCTCAAACAGCTACCTTGGGGGGGGGGGGGATATCAAACATCCCCAACCCAACCGAGTGGGACTGCTGAACTTGCACAATTTAAAGATTTCAGGCAATCTCTGTAGGTTTCAACAAACCCAACAGGTTTTTAACCTATTACAATTGAACTGACAAACGTATTGGAATCTGACGGGTGTTTAATTCGCATTTACATAACCAACCTGCAATTACACTTCTCCATCAATCTAGACCTGATGAAGTAAGATACGGCTCATGAATACTTAATAACATCTGCTAATCCAAAAAGTTGCAACCAGATTCCCCGAGATTTCCCAAACTCAGGCGTGGCACTGAGAATCATGAACAGAGTTTTAGGCCGTGATGCATTGCAAGCAGATTAAGGGCCAACACAGCTCTCTCCAGCTGCAGTGATGAATTCTCACACATACAAGCTGACCTCAAGCTTTTCAATCGTAATTCATGCTTTCCTCAGAGAGAACCGGATTCCAGCTTCCCTCCCCCACCCCTCCCCTCCCTCCCTCTGGAGTTTTAAGAGGCTGAATTCTCCACACATTTTCCCCTTGACCTCGGATGAAGACTGGAATCAGCCCGAGAAACCTCCTCTGCCCCAAGGCCCAAGCATCCTCCTTCCTTTGATTTCCTTGTTCAGTTAAGAACAAAACTTATGCTTTTCATTTAAGACAAGAGACAAATAAACACTTTTCTGCAGGGACATTAAGTTCAAAAGTGCCAAAGCAGGAAGCATCCAGGGGCTCTACTTACTTTGACCATCTCTTTGAACTTTTCCTTTAACTCCTGATAGACCTGGCTGTATCTAGCTACAGAAACGAGAGAGAGCGTACTCTTAAATTCATTTTTGGGGACCTCTGTAGACCATTTCACCAGTTTAGAAATCAATTCATTTCCAAGCCACTCTGCTTTAGGATATACAACTCCATCGGGAACATATTTTCCTGGATTCAGCAGCACTGACACAGTCCTACGAACAGACAAATGAAGTTAAAGGTCAGAATCAATCAGTAGTGGGGCGCTGTATTTTCACTGTGCCTCTGGCCAATCGAGCAAGGTTCCAGTCTTAGTTTACGCTGGCATGTAGCCAAAGGGGGCAAAGTTTTCTTTCCCAAACAGAAGACTCTGAGGCAGAGGCATGCAGCGCATGGTTTCCCTCACCTGCACCTTCTCAGAGAGCAGCAGTAACGATTGCAAGTGAAGATTTTTTGCTCTGGAAAAACCATTCATCACCATGGGGTAAGGGATCATCAGGATGCTGACAACACCCAATTACATAACTCCACTCTGGCAAATTAAGCAATTAAGCCATGAAACAATGAACATCTTGTCTGGGTGTCTGGAAGCCGTGAGGACCTGGGAGGGGAATAACTGGCTTCAGCTGAACCTGAGCATCTCAGGTTTTGGGGGCCCACCAGTTAGAATAGAATAGAATTTTATTATTTGTATGCCGCCCTNTTAAGTGAAACATTTGTTAAGTGTGTTTTGCCCCATTTTACGATCTTTCTTGCCACAGTTGTTAAATGAATCACTGCAGTTGATAAGTTAATAACCCGGTTGTTAAGTGAATCTGGCTTCCCCATTGAGTTTGCTGGTCAGAAGGAGTCTCAAAAGGAGATCCCGTGATCTTGGGACACAGCGACAGTCATAAATATGAACTAGCTGCCAAGCATCTGAATTTGGATGACATGGATCAGGGGGATGCTGCAAGTCACATTTTTCACTGCTGTTATAACTTTGAATGGTCACTAAATAAACTGTTGTAATTTGAGGACTGCCGGTATCCTTTTCCTCTGGTAGATTTTTGCCTTTTTTGCCTTTTGTCATGTCACCTAACTTCTGTAATTTTCTTAAATACCGTATTTTTGGGAGTATAAGATGCACCAAAGTATAAGATGCACCAAGATTTTGAAGAGGCAAATTTTAAAAAAAGTGTTTGCACTCTGCAGACCTCCCAAAAATGGCCTGTTTTTTTGCAAAAACGGGCCCCTTTTTTTAACAAAAAAGGGCATGCATAAGCCTTTAGGAGGCTTATAGAGTGCTCCTGAGGGCATGCATAAGCCTTTAGGAGGCTTATAGAGTGCTCCTGAGGGCTGTGGGGCCAAAACTGAGCAAAAAACAGCCATTATGTGCTCATTTCTGCCCTCCCCAGCCCCCAGGAGCACTCTGAAAGCCTCCCAAAGGCAATGCAGGACCATTTAGGTGAATGGTTTTGGGAAGCAAAAAATGCTGTATTTAGTGTATAAGACACACCCAGATTTTCAGCCTCTTTTTTGAGGGGAAAAGGTGCATCTTATGCTCTCCAAAATACAGTATCTTATCTTTCTAGCTGATATTTTATTTTTGGTTGCTTTGCATTGTTTGTTTAGGTATAATTTCTTGACTGTGGCTGCTTGGGGGGGGGGGGGAGAACTCACTCTTTCCTTTCTGCAGCCTTTTGCTTTCTATTACCTTCATCTATTTTTAATGCATTAGTAGAAAACTATCTTGCCTTTGCCTTTTGCATTTCAGGATAACATTTGTTTGCTTCATCTTTAATAGTATCGAGAATTTCAGTCCAGAATTATTCCGACACTCATTTATCAAACTTAATTCATATTTTGCTTTCCCTTCACTTCATAATTATGGGTTGAGGTTGAATCCTGTTAGTCTGATGGTTTTATCTGGTTTCTTTAATCTAAGTTGTAATTGTGCAAAGAGGAGTTTGTGACCTGAGCTGCAGTCAGTGCCAAATGTTCTTTGGGTAGACTGGAAAGTGTTTCTTTATCTCTGAAGGGTGTATATTAAATTTGATTTTAGTGTTTTCCATTCAGTAATGCTCATGTACTGCATGGAGGTAATTGCTATAAACATCTAATTTTCTTGAAAAACTAATACTGTGTTGCCTGCTTTATTTTGTAAACCAAACTGTTTCAGATGCCCTTTTACATTAACTTAAAATCCCAGTCTTTAAGTAACATTTTGTGCATCGCGTGAGAAAAGTGTATCTTCCTTCTCCTCTCCTTACCACTTTCTATAGAGGGATGATTGAGAGGCTCCTGTCATACTGCATTACTGTCTGGTTTGGAAGCATTACTGCTTCAGACAGGAAAGCAGTCCAGAGAGTGGTGAGGATGGCCAAAAAGATTATTGGAAGTTCACTTCCCTCTATCCAGGACATGGCTTATAAGCGTTGCTTGAGCAGGGTCCGTGACATTGTCAGGGATAGCACACATCCTCTCCATGACCTGTTTTCCTTGTTATCGTTTGGGAGGAGGCTTTGTGATATCCGAAGCAGAACGTTTAGATTCAGTAACAGTTTTGTTTCATATAGTGTCAACATTGTGAACTTTCAAGTCTCCTGTTTCTGCAGTGGTGATAGATAGATAGTTAATAGATAGATAGATAGATGATAGATGATAGATAGATAGATAGATAGATAGATAGATAGATAGATAGATAGATAGATAGATAGATAGATAGATAGTTAGATAGATGATAGATAGATAGATCTGTATCAGAGGTGGGTTGCTCCTGGTAGTGGTATTTTTGCCTGGGTCGCAGAACAGGTAGCGATCCAGGCTGGCCAAGTCCCCAGTCTCTTCTGCAGTTGCTGGCATGTTTCTGTGCATGCTCAGAACAATTTTTAGTCAAATGTGCATGCACGAGCAATGTATGGGTGACACGAGTGCAACGAATATATATGATTGAGATTGTCTTGGCAACGTTTCAGAGAGGTCCCACTCATCGTCTTCAGGCAGGTGTTTTTGGCCTCATGCTTGTGCGAGTAAAGCGTGGTTGGAGCTGCCATCTTTCTATAAATCTTGGGGGTGTGTGGAGTGCTGGCTTTGTTGCTGTAAGTGGGTTGATTGGCATTGGACAAACTAATAGGAGAATAAATGCATGCATCGCAGAACACAAGAACGCAGTCAGAAAAAAAGAAAAAACTTCCT